GGGGTTGCCGCCACCACCGTTTCAGCGTCATCTACTCCGGCACCGCTGACGTCGGCTGCATCGGCGAGGTCGTCAAGCACGAGCGCCTCATCGACGACCGCTTCTTCCTAATCTGCAAAGTCCAGGAAGAGGAGGGGTCTCTGGTGGGCTGAAGAGAGAAAAGAAAAACGAGAAAATGAAAATAAGTTTTTTACGTTTTCAGATTTTCAGAAAACGACAAAAACGATTTTGTTTTTGTTTTGTAAAAATTTTTACGCCAACCGCATTTCTTATACACGTTTTCAGTTTTTAGCCTCGAAAAATGTGAAAAATGAAAAAGAAAACATAAACAAACAGGCCCGTTATAAACACTTTTTTATTTTAATTTATCCCTATTTCATAGTTTTATTTTACAATATATTATATATTCTTTTACACCCTCATAAAATTTTATTTTATCAAACGTTGCTTCAAGTTTCTTTTCACTTTCTTTCTCATTCAATTTTTCTTCGTATCAATAATAATAATAATAATACCTTCAAATTTATCCCTATTACATATTTTTATTTTATAATATTATATATTCTTTGGCACCCTCATAAATATTCATTTTATCAAACGTTGCTTCCTCAAGGTAGAATAAGACATGCCATGGTTGGAAAAGATTCCACCACCTTGTATCTGTTGTAATTCTATTCATTAATTCTCTAAAAAAAAACTATGTAGAATTTTGAGCCAACAACTCAACTGCATTTCGCATTGTTGGCCTTTCTGCCGGGATGGGATTAGTACACATTAAAGCAATTTTAAAGTACTCTTGTATCTTAGACACGTCCAATCCTCTCCCCAAATTTGGGACCAACATTTCCCTTTCTCGATTTTGGGCAACCATATGTCTGGCCCATTTCATGAAGCTCATCCTTTTCCCGTCCATGGAGACCGACAAACGGGGCTGCTTTCCTGTCGCGACTTCCAACATTAAGATGCCAAAAGCATACACGTCGCCCTTCACCCTCGCCACTGCACACCCTTCTTCGTACTCGGGCGCAATATAGCCCACTGTGCCGGCTTCTTGGGTCGACACGTGAGTGTTTTGGAATTCCACCATCCGTGCGAGCCCAAAATCGGCAATATGGGCCTCAAACTCCGAGTCCAGAAATATGTTCTCGGCCTTTATATCCCTATGAATGATGGGCTTTTCCAAGTCATGCATATAAGCCAGCCCGTTTGCCACACCCCTAATTATCTTGTGCCTGGCTTCCCAGAATAACGTTAAGCGCGAAGCTGAACTATCCTTCGACAATCCGTGGAGGCAAATGTCTAAATTGCCCATCTCGAAGAACTCGTAGATTAGAACCCTCTCGCCGCCGGTAACGCAGTACCCAAGGAGCCGCACGATGTTCCGGTGCCGGAGCTTGCCGAGGATTTCGAGCTCCGATCGAAATTCCATGAAGCAATGGAAGCCCTCCGGATCGAGCTTCTTGACGGCGAGCTTGAGGCCGTTGGGGAGCTCGGCCTTGTAGACGAATCCGAATCTGCCATCGGCGGTGATCAAGTCGGCGGAGAAGTTCTTTGTTGCGGTGGTTATGTCGTTCAAAGATATCTGGAGCGACGGATCGAAGGACACGGTCACCTCGAGAGGGGCAATTTGCACATTTGCCTCCACGGTTATGGTGGTCGGATTTGGGAGAGTTATCGGGTTTGGATTTGGGAGAGTTATCGGGTTTGGTACCTGGGTCGCCTGCGTGTGGGAGCTGTTGGCTCGTTTACTTTTGCAGATCATAATTTCTGCGGTGATTAAGATTATGGCGGAGAAGGCGAAGCTGAGGAAGCCCGCCATGATGATCTTAGCAGATTCATCCATGGAGATAAAGGTATTGTTGCTTTCTGGTCAGAAAGACAGGCTTAACTGCGTTTGCTAATCCGTTGTGTCTCTGAAAAAGAGTAAGATGTCTCTGAAAAATAGTATTATGGTCAGAGGTTTTCTTGAGGGAGAAATTTTGAAATTATATTATTATAGGCACGCTGAAGTGCGCCCTTTTTTTTTTATTATTATTTTTTTAATTAAAGATACTGAAGCGCGTTTGTTGAGTTGAGTTGATTCTCTTGCAAATGAGTTTTAGGGCCCGTTGTATCACACGTCTGAAACTAGGGATACGTTCATTTCCACAACTTTAAGTCATGATTTGAGATTTGCATATGTGAGAAAACAAAATTATAACAAAAAAAATTAAATTTAAATTTTTATGAGAGAAAATATTGTAGCAATATAATTTAGTCATGACTTAAAAGTCATAAAATTAACAAGGGCTATGATTCAATTATGCTAAAGTACTTTTTTTCTCAAAAAAATTTGAATAAAAAAGTTTCCTCCAATAGTTTTCTTACGAAATGTGAATTCATAATTAAAAATCACTAAAACCTCGTTCAGTTCGCAAATTCGAGTTGAAATATAATTTTATATGAGAGTTTTTAATTGTAGAAAAAATTAGATGTGACTTTTTGTATGAGCTTTTAATTATAATAAAATTGAAATTAAAAATTCAAATTAGTAAAATGAACAAGGCTTAATTAAAACACGTGAACTTAACGGGCCATTAATATCTTAGGCATCATTTATTTTACCGATTCAAGTTTTCAATTATAGTCTTGTTACAGTTAAAAATTCTCATAAAAAGTTAAATTTAATTTTTTCTGTTGCAATTAAAAGCTCTCATATAAAATCATATATCAACTCGAATTAAAAACTTAATCCGTAAATTGGAAGTTGCTTTATTCTGTATTCTTTCTTTGCTTTTCATTGATTTCGTGGAAGCCGAGTCAATGGCTAGAAGTTAATTGCTTAACTAATAAGCAGTTTAGTCACTACGATTCAGGCCATGTAGTAAAGTTTAGTACGCTTTTTAGCTAGAGTAGGACCCAGCATGGCAAAAGTTTCAACGCGGATGGAAAGTGGTGGCAAACAAGTAGTTAAAAGCTGAAATTTCAATGGGAAATTCCAAGAAGCTATAGTATTGACCCTACGTTTGGTTTGTATCATGACTTGCAAGGAAGCACACTCTTTCATAACTTAATAGACGTTACCAAAGGAAGCTTTTTTTCATCCAACTTACATTTATCTTCTCCTTGAGTTTTATCTTTTCAACTAACCAATGGCGGACGCAATTCTCTTTAATGTTGCTGCAAGTATTGTTGAGAAGTTGGGACCCGAAACTCTTCGTAAAGAGATCGGGTTGCTCTTTGGTGTCAACACCGAGCTTGAGAAACTCAAGCGCACTGTTTCTGCAATCAAGGCTGTGCTCCTTGATGCGGAGCAAAATCAAGCTGACAACCATCAGGTAAGAGATTGGCTTCAAAAACTTCAAGATGCCGTCTATTATGCTGATGATTTGGTAGATGAATTTTACACCGAAGCTTTGCAGCGTAGAGTGATTTTTGGGAGTAAAAGGGCGAAGAAGGTACGCATCTTCTTTTCTAGCTCAAACCAGCTTTCTTTTATGCTAAATATCGGTCATAAGATAAAGGAGGTTCGGGAGGCACTCAATGAGATTAAAGATAGCAGGGATTTTTACTTGATGGAATGCTTCGAGGACACGCGCGTCTCCTCTAATGTGAGGGAGACTCACTCATTTGTGGGTAAAGAAGAAGTTATTGGAAGGGATGGTGATAAAATGGCAATTGTAAAGCTTTTGTTGGATTCAGAAACAGAAGAGGATGTGTCAGTGATTCCCATAGTTGGTATTGGAGGATTAGGGAAAACTGCACTTGCTCAACACATCTTCAATGATGAAAACGTCCAAAACCATTTTGAACTGAGAAGTTGGGTTTGTGTCTCTGATTGTTTTGATCTGAAATTAGTTGTTCAGAAAATCATTAAATCTGTAACTTTGAAGAGCCCTGAAGATCTTGAGTTGGAGCAATTGCAATTTCACCTTCGAAAAGAAATTGGTGGAAAGAGATACCTTCTTGTACTGGATGATGTGTGGAATGAGGATGCTGAAAAATGGCGTGGATTAGAAAGATTGTTAATGGGTGGTGCAAAGGGTAGCAAAGTATTAGTAACAACTCGTAGTGACAGGGTTGCTGAGATAACACATACAATTCGGCCATACAAGTTAAGTGGGTTGGACAATGTTAACTCTTGGTCTTTATTTAAAAGAATAGCATTCCATAAAGGACAAGAACCTGAAAACTCAACTGTTTTGGCATTGGGGAAGGAGATTGTAGATAAGTGTAGTGGAGTTCCTCTTGCAATAAAGACCGTAGGGAGTATATTATACTTCAAACGGCGAGAAATAGAGTGGTCTTCTTTTAAGGAAAATGAACTTGCCAAAATACCTCAAGGAGAAGATGGCATTTTACCAACACTAAAGCTGAGTTACAATCATCTCCCTTCACATTTGAAGCATTGTTTTGCTTATTGTCGCTTGTTTCCCAAAGATCGTGAAATTGATGTGCAGAAGTTAATAAGGCTTTGGATAGCTCAAGGGTTCATTAAGCCTTCAGATGGCGGCCGATGTTTAGAAGATGTTGGTTACGAATATTTTATGGATCTGCTCTGTAGGTCCTTTTTCCAAGATCCCAAGCGAGATGATCAGGGTAATGTAAAAAGATTTAGAATTCACGATCTCATGCATGATCTTGCAGTTCTCGTGGCGGGGACAAGTAGCATCTCAATTGATCGAAGTATGGAGAATTCTAATGAAAATATTCGCCATGTATCATTTGATTCTAAATTCAGCCCGTCATGGAAACTTCCACCATCCTTGCTCAAAAAGAACAGCATTGTACGGACTTTTATTTCACCCAAATATAATGCTTGGCATGGGTATCAACACGACTTTCTAGGCACGTCAAGAAAGAAATTAAGATGGTTGACTCGTGATGCAATCTTGTTTAGCTTCACATCTCTGCGGACTTTGGATTTGAAGGCTTTGAACATCAAGAAATTGCCAAACAGTTTGGGTAGATTGAAACATCTAAGATACCTTGATGTTTCGCGAAATAATATCCAGATGCTTCCCAATTCAATAACAAGACTGCAGAATTTGCAAACTTTGATTCTCTCTCATTGTCGAGAGTTGATACGATTGCCTGAAGATATGAAGAAACTGGTCAACTTGAGGCATCTTCAAACACATGGATGTCGGAGATTGAGCTACATGCCACGTGGAATTGGTGAATTGACTGCCCTTCACTCATTAGACAGATTTGTGGTTGCTGACACGGGCAATGTGACAAGACACACTGCTGGGCTTAGTGAACTTGGCGGCCTTAACAACTTGGGAGCAGAGTTGTCCATTGAGAACTTGGGGCATGGGAAAAATATTGCATTGGAAGTGAAAGCTGCAAATTTTAAGGATAAACAACACCTTCAATCCCTTGTTTTATTTTGGAGATATGGATTCGATGGTGATCAGACAAGTGTTGTTGAGAATGATGAAATGTCATTAGATGATCTGCGACCACATTCAAAAATGAAAGCTTTGAAGGTGGTGAATTTCATGGGTTTGAGATTTGCAGGTTGGCTTTCTACGCTCAATAATCTTGTCAAATTAGAATTACTGAGTTGTGAAAAATGTCAACATCTCCCACATCTTCATGAGTTACCCTTACTCAAGGAGCTCACACTCTATGCATTGATTGCTTTGGAGTACATATCAGATATGGAGAGCAACAATCAATTGTCCACTTCATTATCAACTCCAAGAACGCCATTCTTCCCATCTCTAACAATCCTTAAGATCAGATTTTGCCTTAATCTGAAGGGATGGTGGAGGAGGAGTACAATTGCAGGTGACAACAGTGGAGCCCTCGGATTGACAACAGCTACAACACCACCATTACATCAAAACCAACCTGTATTCCCCTGTCTTCATGATCTAGAGATAAGAAACTGCCCCCACCTAACTTCCATGCCTTTGTTTCCGGATCTAAAAAGCTTGGAGTTGATGGACACTAGCTTCAGACCGTTACAACAAACGATGATGATGACGGATGCTAGTATGATAGCTTCACCATCTACAATCACGTCTACACCACCAGATTCCTCATCTCTCTCCAAATTGAAGAACCTGTTAATTTCACAGATAAAGGATGTCGAATCGTTGCCAGAAGGGATAGGAAACCTCACATCCCTTCAGTCTCTTGACATCGTTGAATGCCCCAAGTTGACATCATTGCCGGAGGTGATTGGCAACCTCTGTTTGCTTCAATCTCTTAAAGTTTGGGAATGCCCCAAATTGGAATCATTACCAGAAGGGCTGTGTCTCCTCACCTCTTTGAAGTTGTTGAAAATTGATAAATGCCCTACCTTGTCACAACGATGCATGAGGGAAATTGGTGAAGATTGGCCCAAGATTGCCCACATCCCGAAAATTGAGACAGACTGATTATGATCTGAAGCTCCACTTCTACTACAGGTTAGTAGTGTAGATCTCTATCTCTTCTGTTGTTTCTTTTATGGTGTTTCATTTATTTTGTTCCAGCCTTACAAATAGATGGAAATAAAACTTTGGTTGCATTTAGAAATTTGTTTTACTGCATAAGTTATGTAGTCCCATCAAACCTGTTTTAATTTAGTAACTGGCAAAAATACTGAGCAGCATAGATCTTTTTCCCTCCGTTTTCGTCAAATCAGGCTAAGTAAAATAGTTTGGTTTTCTGTTCAAGTACATATTCCCACTTTCTATCTGTTTTCTCTCTCTCTATTTTTGTTTATAAGAAAAACATGTATTGATAAAATAATCAATTACAGGTGAAAGAGGATAAGGTATCCTCTGAACCAAAAATCTGTTTTCTCTTTATTTGTATCCTCAAAATTGTTTTTTTAATCAAACAATTTACAAACTTGGTGTCAGACATATATGGGTTGTTGTCCTGCTGGAAAATAGTATATGATTTTGTAACATAAAGGGCTACCTGTTTTTAAGCATTTACTAATTTATAGATTTATTTTACAAGTGTTTAGCCATTGGTATGTGTATACACTCAACTCTGAATCAACAAAAAGAAATAAGCAAGCACCGGTTAAGCATTTGCTTTGTAGCTTATTGCATTTAGAATTGAGGGATATTGTTCTTTTCATTATGCTTTAATGAACAAGTCTCCATTGGAGTTTGGGAATTTGAAGGATAACATCTCTGAGTTTGCTCAGAATAGATGTTTTCTTAAAGCTTTAAAGTAAGCTGCTTCTTAACGTTTCTTCTACTTTCATTATGCTGGTACAAGCCTAGAATAAGTAATGAGTTTCCATTCCTAAAAAGACCAGTCGTTTGAATAGTTATGGTTCTTATCAACAACATGCATCTGTAGCCAATCCATCACCTCAGAAGTTTTTGAATCCCGAACTTATCATTATTTGTTTAGTAGAATTCATTTCCAGGTAATAGTTAGCTGTTGCATCTTCTATTGCTCCAACACTTCTCCTATAGTTCTATTCCTTCAAATAATTAAGTAGACGCAAGGCAGACTATGAGCATCTTTTGTAAATAGTATATATTTTTCCTAATTTAGCATTAATATTATCTAATTTCCTAGGAGTAATCGTGTGCTTGATACTTGCGCTCTTTCGTTCTTGCTGCTTTACGGTACAACTTTATTAGTTTAATTCTCAGTTAAAATCTCCATGGATAATTGCTATGTTTACAGGGCTTTGGGATGTTGGTCATGTGCTCGACTCGACGCGCTTTGATTGCAGCTTACACAGGCCTTCTTGTGCTCTCTCTCTCTCTTTTTTTTTTTTTTTTTTGTCACTGTGCTGACCATATGTAAATAAGCATATTATACATTTAGCATTGATACTCATGGAATGTTTAAGTTCGTATTTTCTTTTTACGTACTTGAATGTATTGTTATTATATGTTATTTGTAGAGTGCAAATTGATGAAGCAATCAGATTTTTCATGACGCTGCATCGTGTTTTTGCTTTTTCTGTTCTTTATTCACTTGTGGCTATTGGTTAACCAAACATAGCTTAGTTATATCTGTTTTCTCTATCTTCTTGATCATTGTTCGGCAGGCACATCTCAATTAGGATCTTACCATCTCATCTATCCATAAAACTTTTTTTTTTCCTGTTCAAGATAAATGAACTGTGCAATTTGTTCTGGCTTATTTTATGGTTTTTATTCTTTTTGTTTTCATTTTTTTTTTGGATAAAAGGACGCCCAGAAAATAGTGGAGTTTTCTTTGATTTTTCTTTCCTTTTTTTTTTCTCTGCATAAAAATAATCATTATTGATGCGTTTAAAATTTGTTCTAAAATGATTTTTTTTTGTGTATGAAAATAAAAATAAAAACATTTTTTAATCTTAGACATAAATTATTTTTAAAAATACGTTTGGTAGTTTTATCAAGAGATTATTTTCAGTATAAAAAAACACATTAATATCTCTCTCTTTGCTCGAGATAAGAGAAAACAATAAAAAATGAAAAACGGTTAATATTTTTTTCTCATTTTATATTAAATTAAAAAATCTTTTTCATTTCTGTTTTTTTCTTTAATTGTGTTAAATGTTATTTTAAAATCGTTTTTATTTTTTGAAAAATGTAAAATTTAAAAACAAAAATAATTTCAAATACGGCATATATTTTCCCGAATTAAGGCGAGAAAAAAAAAAAAAGCAGGATAGTTGTGTCTGGTTCCAAGTCATCTCTCACATAATGAACTTACCGGTCAGAGTTACGTACGTGGAAAAAATAAATCAGAGATCTCTCATAAAAATTGGATTAAAAAAATTACTCAAAAATTAAAAGCTAGTCTTTGAGAAAAAAAGTCTTCACCACCACTCGCAATAAGAAGCGTGTCTCTCCATGGACCATTTCCTCTTTTGTTGTTCTGTCTTAATATATTTTCCCCGTATATATATATTTTTTTATAGAAAATTATTGAATTTATTTTTAATAATGAATTTAAATTTTTACTTGTTACTTATAATTAATATTTTTTTATTAATTTGACTTAAGAAAGAATAATCTTGATAAAATACTTTTTAAAAGTGTATGGGTTATAATTTTTACCATTTACTCTTAATTCATAATTTTTTTAATTAAATAATTACACTAATACAAAAGATATTTATCAATAATAAGGGGTAAAAATTCACACTCATACACTCTTAAAGATAAATTCTTTATTTTTTTTCTTAAAAATGTATTAATAAAGAATATGGAGTAAAAATCTAAATCTAAACACTTTTAAAAGATATTTGTCTCATTTTTTTTTTTTACTTTCTCAAATCATAATTATATTTCCTATGCCTAAGACCACGTATTTTAATGACATCCGGAGGAGGTGTTTGAGTAGGATGGCCCTTAAAAACTATAGGTTTAATTACGTGTTGTATAAAAAAAAATATATATATATATATATATCTTCTACTTTTATTTGTAATTGTATTTCCCTTGAGAAATTAAGAAAAAGAAAGTGAGAAACAAATAAGAATAGCACGTGTGTGACACACGCTTGGAAAGTCCGAAAGGCGCCAAACCAAACCACCCAAAATACTCTTGTTGAGAACTTGGCCACATATTATCCACAAACACAACTTCCACTTGAACACCATTTTCTCTCTCTCTCTCTCTCTCTCTCTCTCTCTCTCTCTTTCTCTCTTTCTCTCTCTCTCGTGTGATTCTGATAACACATTGCAACACCCCTCCCCAAATCTAACCAAAACCAAACAAAATAAACCCAAAAAACCCAAATCAAAATTAACCCAAAAAAGAAAAACAGAAACAGAAACTCTGAAGAAATAGAGAGTGAAAGAGAAAAATGTCAGCGGCAACTTCATTCCCATACATCAAAATCCCATCTTCCTCATCTTCACCATCTTGTTCCTCCTCATCACCATCCTCCTCTGTTCCTTCCTCTTCCTCTTTTAGGCTCTCTTCAACGGCCAAGCCTTTTCTAAGAACTGTGATTAGGAGCTCCCAAGCTGAAGGGCCCATAAGAAGACCTGTGGCCCCTTCTCCCCTCAAGCCTACACCCCCTTCTCAGCCTCCGTCGCCATCGCCATCGCCGCCGCAGCCGCCTTCTTCACCCTCTGTGGCGCCGCCGAAGCCGGCCTCTTCGGTGGCCGTGGCGGGCAAGAATGTGATAACATTGGAGTTTCAGAGACAGAAGGCTAAGGAGCTGCAGGAGTACTTCAAGCAGAAGAAGCTTGAGGAAGCTGATCAGGGTCCTTTCTTTGGTTTTATTGGGAAGAATGAAATCAGTAATGGAAGGTAACAAAAATAAAAAAATATAAAAAAAAAACAACAACAAAAGGCCTTTTCCTTTACTATTTGTTTTAGCAAGTTTTATTGGATTTTATATGGGGTTTGTGTGCTGTAGCAGCCTGTTATGTTGGGGTTCTATGAAGTTTATGCATTTGAAATCAATATTGAATTAAGAAGTAGGGATTTGCTTGTGATATTTTAGTGATAGAAAATCCTTAGTTTTAGGTAACAATACCAAAGAGACTGGCCAATACAGTAATATTATTCTGGAGAACTGAATTTTGATTGAAATGGAAATTATGTTGGATTTTTTTTTTATGATGTTAAAAATCTGATTCAAGTATTTTTGCTGTTTATTTATCTAATCAGAAGAAACCCACGTAAATTTGTCGCTTTTCTTCCATTTTCGACTGATTCAGATGTATGACCTTTTCATATTTTTATACTTTTGGCTTGAGAAGCTTGAGTGTCTTGATTTGGTGGTGTGTTCTGATAACTTTTTAATCCGTGTTGACTATGCAGATGGGCAATGTTTGGTTTTGCTGTTGGTTTGCTAACAGAGTATGCAACTGGTTCAGACCTTGTTGTTCAAGTAAAGATTCTGCTCTCGAATTTCGGGATATTAGATCTGGAATGATGCATTGGCTTGATGTTGAACTCCAATTCCAATTACTGCGATTGCTTTAGTCATTTCCAGTATTCTCTTTTGTAACTCTGTTGAGTAATTTGTTTAATTTTCACTCTCTTTCTTGTCTATCATAAGCTGTATCTTCACTACACTGCCAAAGTTGCAAAAAAATACAAGAATTATGTTTCTTTTTTCTTTTCTTTCCTGTTTCTTGTGGTTCAGTTGCACTAATTTTGGAGATTGTTAAAGCTTAGTATTATGTTTTGTTGTTTGTGACTGAATTTGGAGATAAAATGTTAACAAGACATGATGTGAAGTGTGAAAAAAGCAGGCAATTTTTAGAATGAAATTCTTTATTGAGGTTACTTCAATAGGATATCAGCACGGCACAGAAAAGATAAATGATTTCTTGTAGTTATAAAAGTTATAGCAAACAGAGATTATATCAACATGTCCCCATGATCTAGGTGAATATTTGTATATATATATATATATATATATATATATATATTTGCTTCATAAATATGCGCTCCAGAAATAGCATATAATATGATTTTTTATATATACAGACTTCGAAAGAAAATACTATCTACTAAAATTTGTTATACATATTCCATGCAAATCAATATTACATGTATAATATGCTAATTTACATATTGACAAACTTTTTTTTTAACAAATAAAATTGCTCGGTGCCAGGTTTTATAATCGCAACTAAGTTCGCACTTCCATAGCACCCTCATCGTCTTCCCACCCCCAACATATATTATCAATAAAATAAAATAAATGTACTAAGCAAGTCCAACAAATTACAAGTGTTCTGTGTAATGACCCATCAAAAACAATCCCAAAAGTAAAGAACTACTAAATTGAAAAATAAAGTGGGAAACAATGCAAAGTAGAGACTGGCGTCATAAGACATAGCCTAAACTACGCCAGAATTTATGATAGACCTCATTAAAAACCTTGTTAGTAAACCCAGTGGGACAAACCTAATGAGGAAAAAAGAGTGTCTACGCTTTGCAATGTAACAGTCCCGACACACTATCAAATCTTCTTCTACAAGCATGTTCTTCCTTTTCCTTCAAGCTTCAACCGTGCAACGAAAAAAGCCTTCTGATGAAAGCTGCAGCACCCTTGTTATCCATCTTGTTGGCCGCGGCTCCGACTCCGGTCAACTTCTGACAATCAATGGGCGATCCTATCCCCACAAACTGATCACTGATCGCATCACAAGCAAGTCCATCCAAGATCGTTATTCCAATGTGCAAAATCCCTTTAGCATCTCCATTCGGACGTCGAATATGAAATCCCCTAAATGTCCCCGTCGTCGTTTCACAAAAGCGTCGGCCACAATTGCCAAAACTTCCAAGCAAAACTCTTGAAGTCCCGATCAACCTGTCGTTCCCGAATCTTCCAACACAGTAGAACTCGACCACGAGCTGAGCAGCACTCCAACTGTCGAGTGTTTTGGCGTCGACGACGAACACGAACTTGTCGTTCGACCTCGCGTTTTCGAACCTCGCGGCGTCGAGTACCCGAGACTTGAGCTTCTGTTTCGGGTCAATCCAAACTACGGCGTAAATCTGATGGTGATCTTTTCTGGAAGTGAACATGGTTCTTGGTGGTTTGAGATCATAGGCTGAGACTAAGTTGATCTCAAGAAGTTGGAATCTGGTTGAGCTTTTGAGGTTACTCATGGTGCCCTAATCGTAATACTTTGCTAGCTGTGATGAGAAAAACTTGACAATGGCTATGTTGAATTGAATAGGAAGAGAGTAATGTATATATAAGGAGAGAAATAAATGGCGGTGTTATCATGGAGATTTTCGAGTCAGACTTGGACTGGACTACGTACGTTAATCTAAATCAACTATGATTCTAATTTCCTTATAATTTTTTAATATGATTGAGAGTTATCTCTAATATGTAAGTTAATGGATGGACCATGATAAATTTTAATCAAATTAGGATTGAAAATTAATCTCAGACTTCAACTAGTAGACGTTGTTGAAGTTCTAGTCTCACTAGATGTGTGAATCCTTGTTTTCTATTGTGTCCTTTATTTATATGAATGCCAAGGAGTACTTTAATAAGTAACTACTCTTGATTTATAATGTTAATCAAGTACGATCCTTATTTATGCCAAGCATATATTACGTTGTTGAAGTCCTAGTTATCTAAAAATTACATTTATACGAGTGTTGAAGTGACTTGTTGAATCCTAATTCTCTTATAATTACAAGGGCTTTTTGGACATATTATAAATTTTACTAGTCACGTTGAAATACCCAAAAAAAAAAAAAAAAAATTTAGAATATTTTACGAACAGGAAAAATAACATAACAATAATTACTACGTCATTTGGTTGAATATATCATTAAAATAATTACAATATTATTTTGTTATTTTTAAAATATTTTTAAAAAATGTTATATTTCAAATGCACTTTCATAAATTTGAATGTAGTGTGATTATTACTAATTTACATTTATACGAACAAAAGAGTAAGGACATGTTCTTTTGTCTAAAAAACTCAAAAAAAGACAACTCAAGTTTCAACTTTATTCAAGTTCACGTTTTTTTAAGTTTCAACTTTATTCAATTTTACTCAACTTTATTTAAATTATAACTTCAACTCAAGTTCTAACTCAAATTGAACTCAAAAATTACACTCAAGTTATACTCCAAAAGAACAACTCCTAAGTGACTTTCAATAATTAAGGAATTGTAATCGATTTTAACTTCAATGGCTAAGATCCTCTATTCTAATTGTATTGGCGAGGGCCGGGGTTGGGATGGTTTTGAGTGGGGAATCTATCCTGCTTTTTTTTTTTTTTTTTTTCTCACCATAATTCAGGAAAATATATAAGGATTCTTTTTATGCAGAGAAGAAAAAGGAAAGAAAAATTAAAGAAAACTCCACTATTTTCTGGGCGTCCTTTTATAAAAAAAAAACGAAAATAAAAAGAATAAAAACCATAAAATAAGCCAGAACAAATGGCACAGTCCATTTATCTTGAACAGGGAAAAATAAAAAGGTTTAAGGATAGGTGGGATGGAAAGATCCTAATTGAGATGTGCCTGCCGAACAATGATCAAGAAGATAGATTTATCAGAAATAATCAAGCTATGTCTGGTTAACCAATAGCGATAAGTGAATAAAGAAAATAAAAAGCAAAAACAAGATGCGGCATCATGATAATATGATTGCTTCATCAATTTGCACTCTACAAATAGCATATAGGTTATGTTTAGTAGTTTTTATTACATTGTATAAAGTGTATTGTATTGTATTGTGTTATTATAATACAATACGATATTTGGTGTCGTAATGTATTGTATAAAGAGTTAAAATGTAACATTTTAATAATTTTGAGATCAAAATGTATTTTTTGAAAAATTATCTGGTCAAAATATAAATTTTCAAAAGTTTTAGGTCAAAATGAAATTTTAAAAAAAATTTGGGGTCAGTGTGTAATTTTATAAAAGTTTTGAGGTCAAATGTTATTTTACAAAAGTTATAGGGTCAAAATGTAATTTTTAAAAAATATAAATTTGCATTGTGTCACCTCAATTTTACATCAATTATAGGCTCTGACATAACCCTATATCAGACTAATCCTAATCCCTAGCGTGCCTAACCTTGATATGAATCATCAATCTACTATAAACTAATACAATACAATACGCTAAAAATGAATCGTATTCAATAATACGACATAAATCATATTAATTTATCATCAGTATTAATTTATACAATACGATAATCACACTAAATATTATATTATTATATTATTATATAATACAATATTCTGATGCGGTCAAACAAATATGTCCATAATAAAAATACACTCAAGTACGTAAAAAGAAAATAAGAACTAAAACATTCCATGAGTATTAATATTACATATATAATACGCTTATTTACATATGGTCAGCACAGTGACAAATCTTTTTTTTTTTAATTAAAAAAAAAAAAGGAAATTGGGCTGAGGTTAACAATCTGATTGGCATCTGGCGACGAGCAGAAATAGCACAAGAAGGCCTGTGTAAGCTGTAATCAAAGCGCGGCGAGCACATGGCCAAAATCCCAAAGCCCTGTAAACATAGCAATTATCCATTTGACATTTCAACTGACAATTAAACTTGTACCTTAAAGCAGCAAGAACGAAAGAGCGCTAAGTATCATGCACACAATTACTCATAGGAAATTAGATAATTGGGGGGAAAAAATTAGTATTTAGAAAAGATGCTCATAGTCTCTCTTATATCTACATAATTTACACATTTGAAGGAATAGAACTGTAGGAATAGGAGAAGTATTGAAGCAACAGAAGATGTAACACTAACAACCTACAGATTAAAAAGTTACCCTGAAGTGAATTCTACTAAACAAATAATGATACGTTCGTGATTCAAAAACTTGTGAGGTGATGGATTGGCTACAGAAGCATATTGTTGATAAGTACCACAACTATTCAAAAGACTGGTCTTTTTAGTAATGGAAACTTATTACGTAACAGCATCGAGAAAATGAAAGAACCGTAAGAAGCAGCCTACTTTAATGCTTTAAGAAAACATCTATTCTGGGCAAACTCAGAGACGTTATCGTTCGAATTCCCAAACTCCTACGGAGACTTATCAATTAAAGCATAATGAAAAGAAATATCCCTCAATTCTGAGTGCAATAAGCTACGAAACAAGGCTTAACCAGTGCTTGCTTATTTCTTTTTGTTGATTCAGAGTTGAGTGGTTATATATACCAATGGTTAAACGCTTGTAAAATAAATCTATAAATTCTTAAAACCAGGTAGCCCTTTATGTTACAAAATCATTTCCAGCAAGACAACAACCCATATATGTCTGACACCGAGTTTCTAGATTGTTCGATTAAAAAAACAAATCTGAGAACAGGAATAAAGAGAGAAGAGATTTTTGGTTCAGAGGATACCTTATCCTCTTTCACCTGTAATTTGATTACTTCATCAATAAATTTGTTTTTCTTATCAAAAAAAAAAAAAAAAAAACAGAGAGAGAGAGAGAGAGAGAGAGAGGGAGAGAGAAAACAGATAGAAAGTGGGAATATCTGTAGCACTTGAACAGAAAAACCAAACTATTTTGCTTAGCCTGATTTGACGAAAACGGAGGGAAAAAAGATCTTTGCTGCTCAGTGTTTTTGCCAGTTACAAAAAATTACAACAGGTTTGATGGGACTACACAACTTATGCAGCAAAACAAATTTCTAAGCTCAAGAAAAGTTTTATTTCCATCTATTTGTAAGGTTGGAACAAAAAAAGTGAAACACCATAAAAGAAACAACAGAAGAGATAGAGATCAAAACTACTAACCTGTAGTAGAAGTGGAGCTTCAGATCATAATCATTCTGTCTCAATTTTTGGGATGTGGGCAATCTTGGGCCAATCCTCACCAATTTCCCGCTTGCATCGTTGTGACAAGGTAGGGCATTTATCAATTTTCAACAACTTCAAAGAGGTGAGGAGACACATCCCTTCTGGTAATGATTCCAATTTGGGGCATTCCCAAACTTTAAGAGATTGAAGCAAACAGAGGTTGCCAATCACCTCTGGCAATGATGTCAAATTGGGGCATTCAACGATGTCAAGAGACTGAAGGGATGTGAGGTTTCCTATCCCTTCTGGCAACGATTCGACATCCTTTATCTGTGAAATTAACAGGTTCTTCAATTTGGAGAGAGATGAGGAGGAATCTGGTGGTGTAGACATGATTGTAGATGGTGAAGCTATCATACTAGCATCTGTCATCATCATCGTTTGTTGTAACGGTCTGAAGCTAGTGTCCATCAACTCCAAGCTTTTTAGATCCGGAAACAAAGGCATGGAAGTTAGGTGGGGGCAGTTTCTTATCTCTAGATCATGAAGACAGGGGAATACAGGTTGGTTTTGATGTAATGGTGGTGTTGTAGCTGTTGTCAATCCGAGGGCTCCACTGTTGTCACCGGCAATTGTACTCCTCCTCCACCATCCCTTCAGATTAAGGCAAAATCTGATCTTAAGGATTGTTAGAGATGGGAAGAATGGAGTTGTTGGAGTTGATAATGAAGTGGACAATTGATTGTTGCTCTCCATATCTGATATGTACTCCAAAGCAATCAATGCATAGAGTGTGAGCTCCTTGAGTAAGGGTAACTCATGAAGATGTGGGAGATGTTGACATTTTTCACAACTCAGTAATTCTAATTTGACAAGATTATTGAGCGTAGAAAGCCAACCTGCAAATCTCAAACCCATGAAATTCACCACCTTCAAAGCTTTCATTTTTGAATGTGGTCGCAGATCATCTAATGACATTTCATCATTCTCAACAACACTTGTCTGATCACCATCGAATCCATATCTCCAAAATAAAACAAGGGATTGAAGGTGTTGTTTATCCTTAAAATTTGCAGCTTTCACTTCCAATGCAATATTTTTCCCATGCCCCAAGTTCTCAATGGACAACTCTGCTCCCAAGTTGTTAAGGCCGCCAAGTTCACTAAGCCCAGAAGTGCGTCTTGTCACATTGCCCGTGTCAGCCACCACAAATCTGTCTAATGAGTGAAGGGCAGTCAATTCACCGATTCCACGTGGCATGTAGCTCAATCTCCGACATCCATGTGTTTGAAGATGCCTCAAGTTGACTAGTTTCTTCATATCTTCAGGCAATCGTATCAACTCTCGACAATGAGAGAGAATCAAAGTTTGCAAATTCTGCAGTCTTGTTATTGAATTGGGAAGCATCTGGATATTATTTCGCGAAACATCAAGGTATCTTAGATGTTTCAATCTACCCAAACTATTTGGCAATTTCTTGATGTTCAAAGCCTTCAAATCTAAAGTCCGCAGAGATGTGAAGCTAAACAAGATTGCATCACGAGTCAACCATCTTAATTTCTTTCTTGACGTGCCTAGAAAGTTGTGTTGATACCCATGCCAAGCATTATATTTGGGTGAAATAAAAGTCCGTACAATGTTGTTCTTTTTGAGCAAGGATGGTGGAAGTTTCCATGACTGGTTGAATTTAGAATCAAATGATACATGGCGAATATTTTCATTAGAATTCTCCATACTTCGATCAATTGAGATGCTACTTGTCCCCGCCACGAGAACTGCAAGATCATGCATGAGATCATGAATTCTAAATCTTTTCACATTACCCCAATCATCTATTTTTGGATCTTGAAAAAAGGACCTCCAGAGCAAAGCCATAAAATATTCGTAACCAACATCTTCTAGACATTGGCTTCGATCTGAAGGCTTAATGAACCCTTGAGCAATCCAAAGCCTTATTAACTTTTGCACATCAATTTCATGATCTTTGGGAAACAACCGACAATAAGCAAAGCAATGTTTCAAATGTGAAGGGAGATGATTGTAACTCAGCTTCAGTGCTGGTAAAATGTCATCTTCTCCTTGAGGTATTTTGGAAAGTTCAGTTTCCATAAAAGAGGACCACTCTATTTCTCGCCTTTTGAAGTACAATATACTCCCTATGGTCTTTATTGCAAGAGGAACTCCTCTACACTTCTCTACAATTTCCATACCCATTGCCAAAACTGTTGAGTTTTCAGGTTCTTGTCCTTTATCAAAGGCTATTCTCTTAAATAAGGACCAAGAGTCAACATTGTCCAACCCACTTAACTTGTATGGTTGAATTGTATGTGTTATCTTGGCAACCATGTAACTACGAGTTGTCACTAATACTCTGCTACCCTTTGCCCCACCCATTAACAATCTTTCTAGTCTACGCCATTTTTCGCCATCCTCATTCCACACATCATCTAGTACAAGAAGATATCTCTTTCCATCAATTTCTTTTCGAAGGTGAAATTGCAATTGCTCCAACTCTAGATTTCCCGAGCTCTTCAAAGTTACAGATTTAATGATTTTCTCAACAATTAATTTTAGATCAAAAAAGTCTGAGACGCAAACCCAACTTCTCAGTTCAAAATGTTTTTGGATGTTTTCATCATTGAAGATGTGTTGAGCAAGTGTCGTTTTCCCTAATCCTCCAATACCAACAATAGGAATAACTGATACATCCTCTTTAGATTCTAAATCCAACAAAAGCTTCATAATTGCCAATTTATCAGCATCCCTTCCAATAACTTCTTCTTCACGCACATATGAGTGAGTCTCCCTCGCCATAGAGGAGACACGCGTGTCCTCGAGGCGTTCCATCAAGTAAAAATCCTTGTTATCTTTAATTTCATTGAGTGTTTCCCTAACCTCTTTTATTTTATGACCAATCTTCAGCATAAACGCAAGCTGATTTGAGCTCGAAAAGAAAATGCGTACCTTCTTCGCTTTTCCACTCCCAATCATCACTCTGCGCTGCAAAGCTTCAGTGTAAAATTCATCTACCAAGTCATCAGCATAATAAACAGCATCTTGAAGCTTTTGAAGCCAATCCTTGACCTGATGGTTTTCAGCTTGCTTTTGCTCTGCATCAAGAAGCACAGCCTTAATTGCAGAAACAGTGCGCTTGAGTTTCTGAAGCTCGGTGTTGACACCAAAGAGCAACCCCATCTCTTTACCAAGAGTTTCGGATCCCAACTTCTCGATAATACTTTCAGCAACATTGAAGAGAATTGCTTCCGCCATTGCTTACTTGGTAAGCTAAAATTTGAGGAGGAATTAATGCCTGTTAGAAGTTAGAACTTACATGAAAGAATGGGCATATAAAATTCCACAATGTTGACTTGGGGGTCAATACTTCAGCTTCTTGGATGCCATCAATTGTCAATTCGTGTGGAAACTTTTTCCATGTTGGGTCCTACTTTACCTAAATTGTATTATGATTTAGTGCTACATGAAATGAATCTTCCACGAAATTGATGAAAAGCAAATAAGGAAATGAAAAAGGGCAAAAGAAAACTATTCTATTCTTATATCTTGTTTCTCCGAATTCCACAATGTTGACTTGGGGGTCAATACTTCAGCTTCTTGGATGCCATCAATTGTCGATTCGTGTGGAAACTTTTTCCATGTTGGGTCCTACTTTACCTATATTGTATTAAATGATTTAGTGCTACATGAAATGAATCTTCCACGAAATTAATGAAAAGCAAATAAGGAAATGAAAAAGAAGAACAAAAGAAAATATATTGTATTCTTATATCTCATTTCTCGGAGAAACAGCTCAACAAGTGCACTTCAGAATTCCTTTTTTACCATTCAATCACCATATCTAAACTCACTCTCTCTCTCTCAAGAGAACATCATGTTAGAATATTACCGGACTTATATATTAATATCAAATAATTTATACCGGGCTCATATATTAATATCAAATAATTTATATTGAAGCATGTATGATAAAGTTATATTATTATGCATAGTATTATTTTGGACTATAATAAGATGAACTTATTATATTTATAGTGTGAAGCTCATGAATAAAAAAACAAGTTGAATGGGCTAGGAGGAAAGACAAATATTTGAATTGGTCTATAGATGTATCAAGCACGCATTGGGCATAGCCCATCCCCATTTCACTCGCTTTCGACCAAGGTTGTTGTCATTTTAAATCTCATTGCCGCTTGTTTAATGCCCTATAAATAAATCATCCATTTGACAGAAAAATATACTATCTCATATATTTTGTGTGTGTGCCTATAGAGAGGAGAGACAAGATTGAATTCATCATATCCTTTACATATTACTATCTTTGTTTATCTCTAACGAATTCTGTGCAGATTGTTAGAAAATTAAACACATAGCAGGAATTCTGTGCAGATTGTTAGAAAATTGAACACATAACAGGAACTAACTCGAACATCATGAGAGGTATGTTTTAATCTTTACACATATTACAATTAGAAAGATAGATCTTGGGATATTAGTCTTGATAAATTTGATCAGGTTATTATCATTATTTTCAACACATTATACCTAACTTCTCATTTGATCATAAAAAACGCAGTGTAAAAAATCGCCTAAGTACGAAACTCATTCTTCTCTCAAGAAAATACATAACTTTGACACCATGGATCAAACTTCTCTGGACGTCATGGCGGGCTTCATCAGCTTCGTAATCGCCGCCATACTCTTCACCGCCATAGGGATTATGATCTGCAAGAATAAACGATCACAGACCCAGGCGACCCAAGACCCAACCTCAATAATTGTCCCAACTCCGAACCCTAAGCAAACCACCATAACCGTCGAGGAGATCGCCTCCTTCGACCCGTCGCTCCAGATATCCATGAGCGACATAATCGCCGCAACGAAGAACTTCTCCGCTGACTTGGTCACCAGCGACAGCAGACTCGGAATCGTCTATAAGGCCGAGCTCCCCAACGGCCTCAAACTCGCTGTGAAGAAGCTCGCCCCTGACGCCTTCCAAGGCTTTATGGAATTCCGATCGGAGCTCGAAATCCTCGGCAAGCTCCGGCATCGGAACATCGTACGGCTCCTCGGCTACTGCATCGCCGGCGCCGAAAGAGTTCTCATCTATGAGTTCTTCGAGAAGGGCAATTTGGACGTTTGCCTCCATGATTTGTTCTCCGATTGTGCGCGGTTTCCGTTGCGCTGGCAGACAAGGATTAAGATTCTCCGGGGTGTGGCAAATGGGCTGGCATACATGCATGCCTTGGAAAAGCCCATTATCCATAGGGATGTAAAGGCCGAAAATATCTTTTTGGACTCCCAGTTTGAGGCCCATATTGTTGATTTTGGGCTCGCTCGGATGGTCAAAGCCGAACATACTCACGTGTCGACCCGAGCGGCCGGCACGATGGGCTACATGCCGCCCGAGTATGAAGAAGGATTCACAACGGCGACGGTGAAGGGTGACGTATATAGTTTTGGCATATTGATGTTGGAAGTTGCGACGGGAAGGCGACCCAATTTGCCAGTCTCCATGAACGGGGAAACGACGAGCTTATTGAAGTGGGCAAAAGATATGATTGCTCAAAATCAAGCAAAGGAGATGTTGGACCCAAATATTTGGGTTTACGGTTCGACAGGATTGGATGACTCTAAAATTTTGGAGTAGGGAAAGACCGACAATGAGAGAGGTAGTTGAATTGTTGGCGCGAAATTCTACATAGCCTTTTTTTGAGAGAACCAACGAGTCTGTATTCCGCGCGTTACTGTAAAGTATAATATTATATTATTTATAAAGTATAATATTATATTATATAATAGTTGTATTTAAAATATACTTATATATACTATACAATATTATATTATATAATAGATATAAAATTTATACAAACATATTTATACAGATATATATAATATTATTATTTATAATATATATACATAATGTACAAAATAAAATATAATGTTGTTGTGATTCTTGAGCATTTCATTATGAACAATAATATGTATTATTATACATATATTAAAAGAAAGGAAAGTTGTCATTACTTCCTAAAAAAAATTAGAACAGAATAAGTAAAATACATTATATACAAACTTAAGTCTTAACTACATCATAAATTTAAACTTTTGAGTTATTTTATGCCCTCGTGAGAAAATTTTCAGATTCCGTCTTGTAATGTTTCCTCACACAAACTTGTAGTTTATTTCCCAGCACATGTTAACAACAAAAATAAAACAATATTATAATTGTGAGAATTAAATTTTTTAATATAAGAAACTAAATTTTTGATCAAGAAAGACATTAAATTGTAGTAAGACTTAGAACAATGTATAAATATCAATTATTAGTCAATCAAATAAGAATAGCAGTGAATAGTCGGGAGTAGATTGGATGGAAAAAAGAGTAAAACGCAGAGGAAAGAAACAGAAAAGTGCAAAATAAAATCATATACAGAACCCGAGAATAATAAATAGAGGAAAAAATGATAGAGCAATATAAAAAAGAATAAGAATCAAACAGTTTATGCAATATGAAAATTTAGTATATATTTGGTTCAGGTTATATTCATTTATTGTGAAGAATATATACCATAAGTAATTGAAACGAAATCTGGCAATATACATGGCTACCAGCTACATTATTCAGGAGTTTATGCCATAAGTAAGAAAAAATAGTATAGCTTAAAATAACAATATACAGTATTATACATATACTAAGGAAAAGGAAAGATTTCAGTGTTCACTTAAAAAATCAGAAAGATATAAGTTGAAACCATAACTTTAGCCGAGAGTGGACTGGATGAAAAAAAGACAGAAACGTAGGGAAAACAACAGAAAAGCACAAACTAAAATCATATACAGAACCCGAGAAGAAAAAACAGAGGAATAAATGATAGAGCAATATAAAAAAGAATAAGAATCAAACAGTTTGTGCAATATACTTAGTTACACTAATATATCATATACATAAATTAAATCAGTTGGTTCTGGTTATATTCATTTGTTGTGAAGAATATATACCATAAGTAATTGAAATAAAATCTGGCAATATACATGGCTACCAGCTACATTATTAAGGAGTTTGTGCCATAAGTAAGAGAAATTAGTATAGCTTAGAATAGCAATATACAATATTATACATATACTGAGATTAAGGAAAGATTTCAGTGTTCACTAAAAAAAAGCAGAAAGAAATAAGTTAAAATAATAACATTTAAAGTTATAGTAAAAGCAAAATGAAAGACAAAATAAAATATATTGGCATAACTCTAAAATAATAAGGGCAATCAATGATAGCCATATTTGTAATAATAATTACTCGGCACATGTTAACAACAAATGATATATAACATTATCATAACCGGAGAAGAATAACATGTTTGGATTTAAGAAGCCAAGTTTTTGATAAAGGAAGGTATTATATTGTAATAAGATTTAGAACACTGTGTAAATCTCAAATGTCAGTTAATAAATTAAAAATAACAGTAAATGACCAAAAATACAATAAAGAAAAAAAAGAGTAAATTGCAAAGGAAACAAACGGGAATGTACAAAATAGTATCATAGACAAAAGCAGTTTTTATAAATACAAATATATAGTAAAACTAAAACAAAAGACAAATTAAAATATATTGGCATAAGTCTAAAATAAGAAGGGCAACATAAATGATAGCCATATCTGTAATGACAATTACCCGACACATATTAATAACAAATGAAATATAACATCATCATAACCCAAAAAGAATAAAATATTTGGATATAAATAACTAAATTTTTGATAAAGAAAGACATTATATTTTAATAAGATTTAGAAGACTTTGTAAATATAAAATCTCAGTTAATCAAATTAGAATAGTAGTAAATAACTGAGTACAGTAAAGAAAAAAAAGTAAAATATAGGATAAAATATTTCATATAACGAATAAACATAACATTATAAATAAATATTCTAAAACAAATCAACCAAATTAAATTTAAAAAGTGAATACCTGATTCAACGAACCACAGACAAAAGGATAGATCAAAGAAAGCAACCAAAATTACTAAGCAGCAGAAATAGAGCAAAGGAATATAAAGGAGACGGTAAGGTTAGTAAGAAATGGCTAGTATTATTAAGGTCTTTAAACAGTGAGAAAAGAGGGAGAATAGAACATGATAGATAATATTAACTGAAAGATGAAGACAAAGAAAGAGTAAAAAATTAACATACAATATATATACAGAAATTTACCAATGTTTTGCTTAATCTCGGGTACAAATCCCTGCAAACAGAAAGCAATAGAAGTAATGATTAATTAACAACAGCCATCACATTGCATGAAGACCACCGCAAAATGTAACCAATAAATAATAGACAGTTAATTTTGGATACATATTATACAAAACGGAAATATAAAAAATACACGTGTCAGAGTAAAAGATTAACATAAATATTATTACACTTAGATCACGACAAATATTAGAGATTTGTTCAAATTCAGATATGATATTTAAAAAAATACGAAGAAATTAAAATATAGTAAATAAAAACAGGAACAAAAAAATAAATAACATGGGTAAAAAATTTTGAAATTATGAAAGATTTTTTTCGCAAATATAACGGCCGAATAACAAAAAAATTAAAAAACAAACAAAACAACAAAATCCAAAATATCCACAAAAATCATAGAAAGAAAACTGGGAAAAATGACTATAAAAATGAATGGAAAATCGACAGCCAGAAAATTAACAAAGCTAAAACAAACAGAGCAATATAATAAGGTGTAAAAACATAGATCTGAATTAAACGACCAAAGAGCCAAAAAAATGAATAAGAACATAAATCTGAAACAAATGACCAAATCCATGAAATCTAAACAAAAATAATCAACCAAACTAAAGACGAAGATAACAAATGGCGCAAGAAAAGAGAAAAGGACAATGCATATACAACAAAAAATAAATAAAAAATGAAACATAAAACATTCAAAAATATATATGCAAAAAGAAAAAAGATGAAAAACGAATAAATCTGGTCCAGAAATGGATAAAAAAAAGATCTAGAAGGTTGCAGAAAGAATAAATATGAGAAACAAAGAAATTTGACCCAAAAATGAAAAAAATGGAGAGATCTAGAAGGTTGCAGAAGGAAACAAACGGAAGAGAAAAAAGTAGATCCAGAAACGAAGAAAAAGAAACACAGATCTAGAAGATCGTAGAAACCAACAAACGAAAAAATAAAAAAACCTACAAACGGAAGAGAAAAAAGTAGATCCAGAAATGAAGAAAAAGAAACACAGATCTAGAAGATCGTAGAAACCAATGAACAAAAAAAAAAACACTCAATCTAAGTGCGCAAAAAGAAAAATAGATCTAAAAGGTTGCAGAAGAAAACAGACGGAAGAAAGAAATGTTGCTGCAGAAACAAAGAAATAAAAACACATATGAAGAAGGTAAAATCGTAGAAACCAACAAATGAAAAAAAAAACTCAATCTAAGTGAAAAAAAGAGGTCTAGAAGGTTGCATAACCAAACAAACGAAAGAGATAAATGACTACAGAAAGAAGGGAAGAAAAAATCGCAAAAACCAACAAACGAAAAAGAAGAAAAAAAAAAAACTCAATCTGAGTCTCAAAAAAGAAAAGAGGTCTAGAAGGTTGCAGAACAAAACAAAGGAAAGAAAAAGAGATAAATGACTGCAGAAAGAATGGAATAAAAACAATTTAAAAAGCAACAAACAAAAAAAGTCAAAATAAAACACTTATTCTGAGTGTAAATGACCAAAACGGTCACAGCAAAAAGAAACAAAAAAAGTTGAACTAAAGGGCAATATAGTAAATTTACACTTAAAAGGACATAACGGGAATAAAAAATTCATCAGTAGAAAAAAGTAAGGCTAAAACGGGAAATACATTGTTCATTGCACTGTAGCATGAACAGTAAATCTCGTCATCTCCTTTAGTATATGTATAATGTACTTGTTATTAATGAATAGCATCTGATAATATATATCAGCTATGATCAGTTTTCCAACCACAATATGTTGCAACTATGGCATTGTATTAATTAAGGGTAATTTTAACAAATACTTACTCTTCGATTCATAATTTTCTTAGCTAAATAATTACACTAACAAAAAAATATTTATCAAAAGTGAAGAATAAAGATCCGTACTCATATATTCTCTTTCAAAGATAAATTCTCCATTTTTCATTAATTTTTTTATTTAATTATGCCTTAATTTTTTTTTTATTTTTGGTAATTCATAGTTCAACCTTAAGATCCCAAACAGATTAAAAATAAACTATACTATTATATAAATTAGGGACCTTCTCCGATACGCTAATATATCGGTAGGTTAAGTTTTTTGTCCATGAGATTTACATAAATCACGTAAAAGTCAAAAAGTGTGCAGATATAATAGTTAAAAGACACGGCCTACTCAGTATGCCAGGCGTACCAAAAATCTCCCTATAAATTAATAATTTTTTGGATTGAATATTAAAGGTTGAATTTCATTATATTACAAGTTTGGTTCATCTAGGAAAAAAAATTAAAGATAGTAATAGATAAATAAAAGTAGAAGATTGTTGTACTCGAGTTTAATTTTAAAATTTTATTTTAAGAGACCTTTTCTGGTACTACTGATGTACTAATAAATTATTTTTTAATTATTAAATTTACGTA